CATTTATAGTGTCTTGATTGTTTTAAAGTTTATCAGTTAATGACTTTAATAACCCTAATTTTTTGGCTTAACATAAATAAAATTCGAGATAGTACTATTTTCACACAGATTCAAGTGCTTTGGAGTCTGATTTACACAGTGCAGTTTCATCTTTACGAGTTATGAAGTTAGTAAATTCACACTTTGTACCACAAAACACAATGGAACTAACAGCAAAGGTATGTTTAATCAGCATCGTAATTGCTGTTTCCTATCAAATATGTGTGAATTTATGGCCATTGCCAGAGCAGATGAAGAAACTACAAAGTGAGATAGTGACAATGCAAAATAACGTGGATCAACTTAGGCAAGTGCAGCAGAGGGGGGTAAAGGCGTTACGAGAAGAAAGCGAGAGACAACAGGAACAACTGAAGGAATTAAAATTGATGTTGGACGAGCATGCACACTCAATTAGCAAAGAGCAACAATCTCTGCATAAACAACAAAGCCAGTTTGGATCAAATTTAGACAGAATAGATCGCCTTACAGAAGCGCTGCAGAAGGATGTGATGATATTAAGGGATGACAGTAAGGAACATAAACATGATCATAAAGATGCAATTGCTCAATTGAATGAGAATATGAAGTATCAGTTACAATACATTGATATACTACGTGAGAGCGATTCAACCAAGAAAGTTGAAATGGAAAACCTCAGAGTAGATTATAACCATAATATCCGACAAATAGCTGAATCGGGGGTAAAGTTAACAAGTTCTTTGAATGATTTAAAGATGACAATAGACAATAACAAGCAAGGTATAAATGACCTAAGAACAAAACTGGAATTAGCAATAAAAGAGGGCAATAAGAGAAGTGAACGAACGACAAACGAATCTGATATGCAACAGAGGTCTATGAATGTATTTGATTATATAGCGAACATTTACAGGAGGTTACGACAGTGGTATAAGGCCCTATAAAAAATATTATTAGTTCATCACCCTATCTGGGCAGGAAAGGTGATGAGGGAGGGAGGCTTTTTTTTATTTTTTATTTTGCTAAAGCCAAATATAACCCTTGGTTTGTTTGCTGGTGCATTGATATTCAAAGTAAAACATGATTTAGATAATGCAAACAATATCTACTAACTATTTAATAAAATAAATGAAAAAAATAAATAAATAAAATTTAAAAAACAAAAAAAAAATTTTTTTTTCCAGTACCATAAAAGGCATGCGCGCGAGGGTATAAACTAATCATTTTTTTTTATTGGGCCTAACACAGGTCAATAATTCACATGGTCGTTATGACTATTTTATAAGGCTTTCGCAAAATATACTGGTACACTATTGGTATTTAGGAAGTTGCCAATTATTCTATGAATTAGTCGCATAATCAAAATATGATTGTTAATTAGACATGATCAAAATTATAAGCTTTTTATTTTCCTATATGTATTAGTAGCTGTACAATTGCCTATATCTGATTTTTAAAATAAGAACAAACAGAAAATCCTTAATATTATGAGCAGAATTTAATTATAAAAAAAATCCTTCTATTAAACCCTTATGTGCTCAAACTGTTGTTACATAAAATGTCCAGCATATACATACGATTACCAATTCAATACTAAACTTCAAAACATTGTCTGGGTTTTTATTCAGATCCACCTACATGCTAAATATACAATATCATTAATAAATAAACGTATGCGTCTACACAGGGAACAGTTATATTACATGCCTATTCTCTGCTCTACCAGTGGTCGGCTGACCTTTGGTGACGAATATTTCTCTGAGTGAGTGCTTCCCGCGACGACCGTCTACTGGGTTTTGGTTTTGAGTGGACTGTTGTCCATATTCATTGAGTCGCATCAGCCTACCGTTGGCGACGCTATCTAACCATGGCTTTAGTCTTGGAAATTCCTCATAATATACACGTGTGATTGTGTCAAATTATTATATAGTATTTGAGAACACGATGATCTGAGGACCTAAGTGTGAGTGATTGACTTATCGACGTCATCGATAATACAATGATATCAGGATCAGGGAGTGTGATCGACTCAATGGCGTCACTGATGTTGCTATTTTACCCATCGAAAATACTCCAGTGATTTTTAATATTGATTGCATAAAGTCATTATATAAAGTGTTGAATTATAGACACGAAAATATTCAATATATATATATATATATATATATATATATATATATGGGTATGACTACACTGATGATTCTTACAAAGGCATCTTCAATGTTGATTTCTCGCTACTTTGATGTTGCAGCTTTTCATTTAATGAACACTGGTACTTCTTGTACACCTGGTAATAAAAAATTTGTAATGTTTTAAAACTTTTCAATTTCACTAGTTGAAGTAAAATTTAAGTGATGGATCAGAAGGAGAGTTGTTGGAAGTGTGGGGAGGAGGGTGGTAGGGTTACCCATATTTTGTGCTGAAATATATTGATATCTTAACTTCATCGAAATTACTTTAAAAAAAATTTACACTGCATAATAATAATAATAAAATTAACAAAACACGTCCAGTGAATGGAAGTGTTTCTATTATTTTTTGCTGTAAGATTATGGGTAAACAATTTTTATTTACGCTAATTTCTAAATGAGCAAGTTAATTTCGAAACTGATTTTGATCATTTTCTTTTATTTTGCATGGGAAAATATATCTTGAAGACGCTGGATTTACTTGATAAATTCTAGAACCAGAAATTCTCATGGTTTAATGCAGATGCAGATGTCAAAATCAGTTCTATCCCCATCTGTGTCATGCTGCTATCTGTTGTTATTATTAGTTACTAGTTAAGAACCTGATAACCTGGATAGTAATGTATTCTTGATTCATAGTCTGTACCAGACTGTTATTCGTGATTTTCTGTGACTATTGTTTTATTATATTTCAGGATTGTCTTTTGGATTGATGTAAGGTTGTTATACCAAATATTTAAAAAAATATACATAAATACATTATCTAATTGTCGCCTGGTAAATTATCGTATAAGTTCAATAAGCCCCCAGCTAATGTTGCATTTTAGGAAACTGTCTCCAGAAAAGTATGTTAGGCTCTGTCCACACTATCATTTTTTTATGTAAAATCAAAGATACTAGAAATACAAGATAGAATTCTCACATTGTAAAAATGAGGCGGAAGTCGTGCCCAACGTAGACGGCGCCCTTCTTTTTAACCATGCAAGTTTCCTATACTTCGTGCCCAAGGTACAGGCGCCCTTCTGGTGCTAAATATATCCAGACTCAAAAGGCGCCCTTCCTTTTCCACTAATGGTGGAAAACTTTTTCACTAAGAGTGCGTCCAGCCATGCGATTCTGCGCTGTATTGTTGTTTTATTCTTTACTGATTCATGATTATGCTTTAATTGTTTTGTGTATTATTTGGATAATAGCAACGATTTATACCGCCACCAAGGAGGTTATATATTCACCGATGTCACTGTCTGGGTGTCTATTCCAGTTTGTTTTTATATCTAGTTCTTTGTTGATAATTGATAATAAAATACGCGACGACTTGGTAACGAAAGTTTGGCACAACTTTTTTTAGATCCAGCTGTAGGGGGCGCCCCATTTTTCGTATTCCCACCATGCATTTCGGTGGAACACGGTGGAACAATTTTTTGTGTGGAGAACTCTATCTTGTATTTCTAGTATCTTTGGTAAAATTTAAATGTGACTTGCTTATATTATTTGGTGAAATATGACGTCATCATGCTCATATATTGGCACATCCCACAAATTTTTCACAGAAAATGTGACAGTGAAGACAGAGCCTTAAACCACAGACATCGTTTAGTTCAAACAGTGTAGTACCAGTTTTAAGTGATTGAGTGAGAAAGTGAATGAAGATTTAATGAATGAATATGAATTAATAATGATAATGAATGAAGATAAGAGTATATTAATTAGTAATTGATTGCTTAGTAGTTCAATTACGTAAGTGATGAATAATTATGAATGCCAGAGTGCAACTTCCAATACTTACCAACACTGCAAGAAAGATTAAAATAAGTGTTAAGACGACAAGTGCACAGACCACAACAGCAATAGTGGCTGATTTATTGTCGTTTGCTGATGTGATTTCATCATCTTGATATTGTCGGTTCAGGGTGACAGAGTCACGGAATGCTACTAATTTTGTTCCTTCAAATTCAAACCTAAAATTACCATCATCAACCTGTAGAAAGAGGAGATAAATCCTTAAATAGCAACGTAGGTTTTATAAAATTACTATATAACAAAAGATTTTTCACAGTAAAAACATGTAATTAGGAGGATGATGAGAGTGGTGGCGTTGATAATGGTGATGATAAGGATGGTGATGTTGATAATAATGATCATGACGACGACGGTGGCAATGAAGATGATAATGGTGATGATGACGACGAAAATCCTATCATGATGACGGTGATAAAAAATAATCAACGATGGTGATTGTGACAAAAATATGAATTTGTTTAGTATAATGCTACAATTCAATTTTTTAAAATGTATTAAATTGAATTACCTGTTCTTTCATGAAAACGACAAGATCAGTGACTGATATGTTAGCCGAGTCCTCTTCTATCAGGTAGAAATAAACTTGTATGCTTCCTTGCATTACCTGAAATATTTAACTGGACCATCAAATATCATCTCCTGAACTGTAGCTATATTGTGATGCTCATCTATGCTCTGATATAGGCCTGATTAGAATTAATTTTTAGGGCCTAATGGAGTGAAGAGAGACATTCGACATTGCTCTGTCAGGGTTCTCTATTGTTTTAAATATTCATTCCTATAATACCTTCCAGATGACGACAGTTTGATAATCGTTGGTTGATCATCATCATCATCATCACGTTACTTACCATAACATTCCTTATATTATGTAGCTCAACTCCATACTCTTGATTCAGGAATTCTGTAAATTTTCTATACGTAAAATTTGAAAAAAAGTATGTTTATTGTTTGTTCAAATCATTATTTTTTTTAAAGTTGCAATACTATAACGGGTGTATGTGTCTGATTGATGATTGAACTTCTGTTATAGATAAATAATGTGATAAACAACACAAAAGAGTATTTGTGGTGTACATACACCGCAAATACGGATGGATAGACGCACTTACATTTTGAATAAGTCTGTTCTGTTGACAACAAACGAATAGTCATTGTCAAACCTCAAAGCTATGTCTATTCCTCTACAAAAAAAAAGCATAAGGCATTAATTGAGGTTGCTGCAATAAACAAAGCGAAAACAATCTGGCAATAGGTAAAATAATATATAGCCTAGGAAGTTACTATCTGACTCTGTAAATTTATAATCAAAGTGAGAAGATTTTAAAAATGATTCGCTATGTTGGAAAAAATGATATATTTTTGGTACTGCGCTACATCAAGAAATGAAATTCTTGGGTAAAATTGTATCGCTCTATCCCATGTTTCAGCTGAGAACCGCGCACCGTCCTCTGGGTAAACTTGCTCACTGGTACAACACCGCTAACGAGAAAACATGTTTTACTTTGCTCACTTGTGGCGCTGTTCCGAAGTTATCAAGTAATACTGTATTAAGTACGAAATAGTGACCTAGAATTCATGTCAGGTTTATTCTATTACTCTAATGTGTACATAAATGGGAAGAAGAGTCGGAAGTTCCAGTGTACACACCAATGATCGCGTATGTTCAATAAAAAGACATCATAATAAGTTATGAAAATGACGATGATGGGAAAGATAATAATGATAATAATTTCAATGATGATGATTAATACGAGGATGTCGATAATGACAATGACTACAGCTTACTTCACCAGCATTTTTTCTGAAAATTAAGCGAAATAAGAAAAGGTTAATAAAATCTGTGAAAGCAAGAAGTGTCTTTATCTTGCAAATTGTTGAGTCTAACTAACTATATATATACTGTCTCTTATACACATCTAGATGTGTATAAGAGACAGTATATATATATATCGATATTGAACACTGTTACTAATCATTTCTTAAAAGGCATAATAATGTTATTTTGTTACATAGTAAAATGAACTAAAAACAACCAAAACTAAAATGCTTCTAAACATAGACATTCAAATAAATTAGAAATTTAAATATGTCTATCTAAAAAAAAAACATGATGATGTAACATGATGTAGCTGCTCATTTTAATATGGTTATTTTCAATATGGTAATAATCCATGCATTAACGGATAGCTGACGCCGTCATTTATGACATGCTTCCTTAGTTGTTAACCCTCTTGGATGGGATTATTTTAGTCTTAGAATATACTTCCAAAAACTTTGACCAATATCATGCCAATATATACAGATTCATCGATCAAGCTGCTTAGAGCATGCGCGTGCTTTATTACAAAACCAATGACTGCAACCTTGACAATTTATGTCTGCTGACGGGTGTTCGCATGTCTTCCACACTGGCCTGCACTCATCACAAGGGTCCATTACACAGAATGCATTATCATCAGAAGGACAGACTTCTCCAGTGCAACGGTTCAATGAACAAACGTCTGGAACATGTCCATCTTCACATATGCCAAATTGGTCTATGGTAAAGAAAATTTAATATGTTTTTAGAGCTGAAATGGTGTCACTTGCATACTGTAGGCCCACCCCACCCTGTTCCGATTTTTGTTGTTATTTTTAAGGCAATTAACGTTTGTGAGTTTTTATTGCCAATGAGATTCTACGTTATTCAAGTTGTGTTTAAATCAGTATTACGATTCATTATGAGGTTTAGGTATTAGGTATTATTGGGAGTTTTCACATGAGAAAATTTCTCAGATCAAGCTCAAGGTTGAATCCAGTTCTAGTCTGTCTTTTTAAGATGATCTGCAAAATAAGGCATTACTGATTTGAACTATTATCTTTCGCCGACCGAAATTCCTCTGACTATACTTAACCTACATTCATTTAACCTGTCGGCAAAAGCGTTTGTCGTGGAAATGTTTCCATGTAGTCGGTTAACAAAACGTTCACTTACTTTCAAAGCCTTCTTCACCTTCAACACCATTTGGACCGCATCTGAGGTTTGGAGAACTAAGTCCCATCACTAATGAATACTTGACCATAGAGCCGTCGGCATCAACGCACCAGCACCAGCCGATGTCAGTCCTGCACTGCTTCCACTCAAATTGACCATCTGCAGTGCATTGAGGAATATGAGGAAATACCAGCGGCACACCTATAATTATTGTCGAGTAAAAAGTAATCTTGTGCTGGGTGTTTAAGTTATTTTGTAATGACATGAATAATTTATATAAATATTTTAGAATTAACAAAATGTAAGAGGAATTTATTATTACTAACCTTTCTCAAATGTTGACGGTTGTGATCTTTTTGATATACCTGGCACACCAGGAGAGCCTGGTTGGCCAGGTTGCCCTGGTTGGCCAGGTTGCCCTGGTTGTCCATGACTACCCGATGCTCCATGACTACCCGATGCTCCATGACTTCCGGGTCGTCTTGTCCCGTTGGGTTCTATAGGTTTGCTTGGTCCAGTAGGGCTGGCGTATGTTCCATGACCACCACCATTCCCACCGTTACCGCCATTACCGCCATCCCCTCCGTTGCCGCCATCCCCCCCGTTGCCGCCATCTCCTCCGTTACCGCCATCTCCACCATTGCCGCCATCTCCTCCGTGGCCACCATTACCTCCATTACCGCCATGACCCCCGTTTCCACCATTTCCTCCATTACCAACGTGTTCACCGTCACCTCCACGTGTACTGTCCTCTTTACTATTGTCATCACTTCCCGAGTCTGGTGCATCTAATTGTAAATGTCTTGAAAATCCAAGCTTTATCAGCAGATCCCGCAGGCCATATGTATCGTCCCCAGACACATTTATTGTTGGCAGATTCACTTCACCGTCTACTGATATGAACGATAACATCGCTTTAAACTCTGCCAAGCTCAACCCTCGATCGTCTGGTCCTCCGATCACATGTATAAAGTCGTAATTCGGATCGACTCCAAACGATCGTTTACGTGCAAAAGACTGAAGTGTTGCGTAAAGTGTTACGACGTCATTGTTTGGCCCAGTGCTACGCTGTTTTTCAACTCTGATATTGCAAATTCTACCTAACCGATGCTCTTGATGATCCTCAGAAGAATAGCCAACGTTTCGACGAAAATGATTGAGACTGTTTTGTCTCTGCATCTCACAGACTGTCAAACCTAAAATAGAAAAAATAATATCACCAACGTAAGTTAATAGGAATTATTATGAAATATCAATGCCAAGATGAACTCGGCATTCCTTTTCCAAGATACTTATACAGGTGTATGGTTTTGTTGTCTGTGTTGCACGGACGTTTCCCCATTTGAAGGGATGGTAGAGGCCAGAAACGAGATCCTTGTCTATGATACCATGGAGGAATTAATTCATAAATGGTGAAACAATGCTCAGGAAAACATGGATGCTCTTGTTGATATTTTCGGGATATGCACGCAGACTATTACTATACGAAGACGCATCGTTATAACAAAAAGAGTAATGTCATTTTATGAATAGAATAATATTTTAAAAGTCAACAATACAGTACCTCTCGAACAATCTACTTCTTCGTTGAGTTTATCGTAGAAAGCGTAAGAACAGGTCCCACAAGAATTGATCCTGCAGATGGCGGTGGAATCACTCAAACAAACTTTAGACTCACAGAGGTCTTGTGGGCAGTCTAGGTACGGAATATTATCCTGGCAAACTGAAAAAACCACGGTTGAAAATATTTATAGTTTTAAGTTTACTAACAATGATATCATTAGTATCGCCTTTATGTAAGATATACAGCTAAATTGTGACAACTAACGTTTATATATTATTTTTATTCATGGTACTTATGAAAACAGGGATTTGCTAGACTCACCATTTTCATGAACATCTTCATTGTCAACTTCTAATGAAAACGAATAAGACTAAACATGTTATTTTGTATGTTCCATTTGAATACTTATTGCTTTAACCTAAGAAACAGGTAGTAGAGTATTAAAATATAAATTGGTAGACAATGCTCAAATTTATCACGTTACTGTTATGCATTCTGAATTAAATATTAGTAGGGCGTATACCTTAAGATTAAATAGGCCTAACGTGAATATAGAATATTGTACCAAATATATCTTACCATCTTTTTCACCTGAGACACGTTCCTCACCTGAGGAATCTAAACAAAATATATGTTTTATTCGTAGACTGTACATGGATGCTAAGATAATAGTAGGCCTACAAATGCATACCAAGCTATTCGCTTGGTTCATTAGATGCCAGCCATACAGGGCGTAGCCATATTTTCATACATGATTGCTGAAAGCGCAGGACACTTATATGCTTTTTAAGTTTTTTTTTTCTATTTTGCCATTTATAATCATTATAAGGATTAAACATGATTTACCCTACCATTCGAGTCTGTTTCCGGGCAATTTGGATTTCCACGAACAGTGGTACCTGGAATGTGTCTCCCCCAACTATCGACACACCAACACAGACCAGCTTCTTGCCAACATTGGGTCGTAAGCCAGTTCCCATTATCAGAACATCTTTCAAGAAAAAAAAGTGCAGAATCCTGCGTTTAAAGCCGGGCATTCACTGCGTTCGACGGTCATCGGTCCGCGCAATTTTATGGAGAACACAACGCTACGACGCGAGCGCAACGGATCGTGTTTAATCAAAGTTTAATGACGATCCGTTCAGACTGCCACCGACAATCAGCAGACGGCGATCATTCATTCATTCATTCATTCATTCATTCAAACTTTATTTAAACTCGAGTTATAACAAATTTACAGTAAAATATATAAAGTATAAATACACTATATAAATACAGTAAAACAAATATCAACAGACTTGTTCGAACAATTAAAAGATCGTTTTTCAACAAGTTCGAAAGTGGGAAGCAGTCGAAGGATAAAATATCAAAATACAAATAAACAGTAATATGGAATTATTAATAAAGTAATAAAAATTGCGTAATTAGTAAATGGAATCAAAAAGTCAAATGCAAAAAAACGAATGGGGAGATAGTAAATCAGTAAATTAAACATTTCTAAAATATTCGCGTCATTTAGCGCTCACAGGGAGTTTTTTTTTTTCATTGGCCGACGGTCGTACGTCAGTCCTACAACGCAGTGAGTAGCCAGCTTAAAATACGCAAACACCAAAAAACAAACAAATCGACTAATGCATTGCCAATAACAACAAAATATATAAACCTGTAAAATATTTCTTAAAATTCTTCACTCTTACCGTGAGTAAAAAGACTGGAAAAGACGGTACGGGTACGGTAGACTTTGTATTGGCGAACAGACAGTTTGACCATCTTTAGGAATTAAGAATAACTTTACTTAATTAGACGCTTTTAAAGACCACAATGTCACTAATACTCAGTTGTGAACTTTTTCAAGAAATTTAAAATAAAAGATTTTAGGCTTTTGTAATGTGCATGTATTTAAACGCCATTATCATCGTTGTTGTCGCCGTCGTCATCATCGTTGTCGTATTCGTTATTAGTAGTAAAAGTAATAATATTATTATCATAATAATTAATAATTATATCATAAGGTCAGTATCATTTCTTTGTATACAACATTATAAATATGTAAATTCCCTTGACGCAAAACATGTATTATTACATAACCGTGACAACATACCATTCTGTGGTCGTACGCACTGCATGCCACAGCCATTGCTACAGCACTGTAGACCTGGGGGACAGTCAGTGTCAGCCCTGCAAAATGTGACGCATGCTCCTTGTATCTCAGAGACGGCAGGACAGCTAAGTGTAGGATCTAGGCAAATATTTTAGTCATTTAATATGTTATCACATTGGTAATGGTGCAGTAGCAAGTAGATTGCATATTCATGTTTAAACTTAAGCAACTGAACCTGAAATATGCGTTTGTCCCATAACACGACACCCTGACCCTAGTAAACACATGTGTTTATTGGACAGGGGCGTAACCATTGTACAATATTCAATGGGCGGGGCTGAGGGGAACTGTGAATTAACAGATCAGATTGTCGGTATGCATTTGACGCATCGTACACATTAGAACAAGTCATATTGATACGATTCTTCACGATTCAGGCATGTCAAGCACTTTCCTATATTCAAAAGAACACAGGATTTCTATAACAAACAATATCTAGGGTACATTTATAATCACCTGTGGCATTGCACTCCACAGCATTTCCACCATTGTCGTAAAACTGTGAAGAACAACCTTCGCAGTAGTTGATGAGGCACTGGACATCAGGGTGATTGTCGCAGCGACTGCTCGAGCATGGGTTAAGGGGACAAGTGTGAGGCATCTTTCCATCTTGACATTCGTTGGTCTTCGCAAGTGATTTAGAATCTGTTGAGAGTTAAGGCACGATTGTTTGTGATTATATGTAAGCCTATAATTACCGGTATAGTTGGGTATAGACTACATGTGCGAACTAAGACAGACCGACCCTGTCAATAAAGCTTGGTACACACTGCATCATAAGAGGGTGGTCTACAAATCTCTGTGAGTTCTTGACAACACGACACCGTCTTCTCATTGATGATGACAGACTGAGAGGGGATTGTCGGTAAAGACGAACCGTTGGGCTTGCCTAGTTAGGTTGCGTTCCCCCATTGAATCACAGCCACCGAAAACAGTGTGCCCGGCGTCGCGTTGTCAAGCGCTCACACACAACTAAACGGAAATGGATTTCCGTACTCGCGCGAATAAGCGCCCCAAGTCAATAATCCAATCAATCCTGGGACTGTGGTTGTTGGCATGATTTGAGCTGCAGAGTGGAATAATATTGTTCTTAGGTCAATATCAAAATGAGGATATTTCTCTTGGACAGATGAGAGCTCGTATCCCTGGACAGACAGTATATTTCCAACTTTCCTCTTCTTATCCTATATTTGTCTAGGCCTAGTCCAACTCCTATTTTTCTTTTTCCGAACTTGCAATGATCCTGCCATCCTGCTAATCTCAATGAACCAATGACCAACAAGCTAACCACTGCCCACAACCACTAACTGCATCTGCTATTCTGCTGTTAAGTAAATATTCACAGTATTCTTGTCATGAGCCATGTTTTCTGGAGTATTATATTTTCGTAATGTTGTTATATAATAATTTTTTATTCAAAAAGTGCCTCTTGAATGTAATAAGTTCCCATTAGAACCCCTCGATTTTCATTTATTTCCATAAGCGCCCCTCAATTCCCACTTTGTTTCCATAAGCGCCCCGTTTGTGCAAAAAAACAAAAAAAACAAAAAAAATTAAAAGTGGTTAAGGTGTTTGCCTTCCCATCCTGGGGTCCTGGGTTCAAATCCTATTGTTGCGGGATTTTTTCACTACTAATACACCTTTCTAAGCCACATAGGCCTATTGAGACTTTAGTTTGTGTAAAGCCTCGTGTGTGTATATTTGTCTTGTGAAAGGAATTGACACCTACAAGTACGACAGTGATATATTCGCTATTGTGCCTAAAGAAATAAATACAACTAGACTTACTATGTCTGTTTGAACAACAAAACTTAGGGCTTTCCCCCATTACTTAAATGAGAAATGAAGTTGAAATTGCAACAAAAAGAAAAGTCGTTGAAAGGTAAAAAAAAAAACGAAAAACCAATATAATTTTATTGAAGTGTTTTTGAAATATCCGGTGTAGACTGTTTGACCTTAAATCATTTTATTTGCCAGGAAAAAAAAAACTGCAAAAAGATAGGAAAAATATATGCAAAATATATGAAAAAAATCAGAACAAAAACAATGGATTTTCCCAGTACTGCTAGGAAAAGCCAATAAAACAAATACGTCAGTTCGGGAAAATCCCATTTTAAAGTCTGATACGGTATCATACTTACCCACACATTGAGGTATAGCTGGACAAGGCGGAGATTCGCATACTATCCTGACGGGGACACACTCGTGTCCAGTTGGACACCTAGATTGCACCATCTAAATACCTGTCTCTTATACACATCTAGATGGGTATAAGAGACAGATGGCATAGTTCCTAAAATGTGTTTTCTGATAGCACTGACCTGACATGGATCCATACATTCACAAAGTCTGCAGCCATTGTAATCCCGGGCGAAGCCATACTCGCACTCAAGTATACATCGAAACACCATACATGATGGCTTCCTCCGTGCTTAAAACATTAATATACTTTTTATTATTATTGGTCAGTGGTAAATTGTAATGGTATTGGGAATAATAATGATGATGACGACGGTGGGGATGGTGGCAGGTGGTGAGAATGTGAATATGGTGATGATGATGGTACCGGCGACGATAATGTTGATGATGATGATGATCATGAGATCAGCAATTACCAGGTTCAGAAGATAGGGCAGTGATTTGAGTAACCAGTACAATTTTGCGATATAGGTTAATGGGGATGATATAATTGTAAAAATATACAATATAATATAATATAATATATTATAATATAATACTTGATAGTTTCAGAATATTATTTAATACCAATAAACTTAATGATAAGAATATAATATTAATAGTCAAAGTTTACTTGGTAATAAAGATAAAAAATTAACCTATTATCAATAAAAAATGATTGACCTATTGATAATAGGCTACTGTATTTGTTGTTTGCAATTTTAATGGCAATGATAATAGTAGTAATTTTATTACAGTTATAATTCAGGTAAAAACATACTTTCACACTGGTAGCTACTAGTGTAATACGACCATATGTTCGGAATCACTGTTCCGTCTTCGTCAAAACACCAGATTTCGTCTTTGTCATTGTCCCGATATCGTAACTCCAGAAAATTTCCGTTACTGTCGCAATACGGCACGTAGAATCCATATGACGTCACATGCAATACACTTTCGTAAGCGAACTCCACACTGCTAATTATTTGACGTATGATCCTACACGGGGTTAACTCCTCAACTGTAAAAATCAGTATTATTATTAATAATAATAATATAATAATATTAATTATTATTTATTATAATTTTTTGTTAAGTGTCAATGGTTGATTAGAAACGTCTTAAAATTTAAATATATGACGCCATTAAAAATACGAAAAAATCAATTACGAAAAACTATATTACTTTTTAACTTTGCAAGATTGAACTTGATCCTAATAACTTGCGATTTTGTATTTTTGTGTGTAACCTTTTGTACTTTTCAATTTTACGTAGTGTATCAAACAATAATTTAGACAATAACAGTTTTTGAATTTGAATTTGAATAGTTTTGTAATCTTTGCGTCATGTGGTATATAGTTTTCAAGAATTAGCGAGAGCAGAGTTGAGTCCATTTTTTCTTTTTAGTTTTTTAATGAAACTTGGTTCCCACTAGATGCTAGATGAAATTTGTACGTGTTGACGCAACGTCAACGAACTACGTCTTCTATCGTTTCTTGTGGGTGGGTGGGTGTGTGTGTGGGTGGGTGTGTGTGTATGTGTGTGAAACAAGCCTTATAGCTATGTCCAAGTTTTATGTGACCCATATGATTATTTTATATAATTTGACGCGACATCATCATGTCCCTATATGGGCAGAACACAAATGTTGTTTACATAAAACCACAGATAATAAATAGCAAAAGATACATAGAGCAAATTCGTCGCGATATAGTGGAATGCTTCATGAGGGCGTCCATGAGAGATGAGAATGAGAGCTAACTCAAATGGGAGCAAATGAGAGCAATTTTCCTCCATCCGAGCGGCGGCGCTATATCTTTGATTGGTTTAGACTTCCATAGGAACTCTAGATTGGTTGGATTGGTTGGATACTCTATGATTCGTTTGTTTTCTTTATTTTCTCCACTCCATGAAATAACCATAGAGATATAATAAGAATTGTTTAATTGTTGTTTAATAGCTCTATGTAAATAACTTTTCTTCATTCTAGAGAGGGCGGACGTTTTATAAAATTTAATGCTCATTCTTCTGCTATTTATGTTCTATATATGATAAAACAGCTGATATAGCTTTATATTATATTATTTAAAAAAACATACTGTACTGATGACAAATATTCCGAAAATAAACAACTCGCGATATATTTGTAGTGAGGTAATAGGTTCGCTATGGTATAATCATAATCCCTCGTGAATAGCAAGCACATCCTGGATTCCTTTTTTAAACGGCATTCAAATACTAAGTTGAGTGGAGATCTTCTCGATTGAATTTTATACCTCTATGATTATAACAACCAACATTGAAAATCCAGTGGCTTAATTCAAATCTGATGTTTCCGACTTCATTGCTACTTCACTGTATATTATTGTTTGCTAGTTATAGTTAGCAGTAATAACCATCCAATTAAATGTAAGTTTCAAAGTATAATCAGTATTGAGCTTAAACTTGAAAAAATAAAATATAATTTGATTCGCTTACTTATCATAGTCTCCTCTTTAGTCATTTATAGGTAATTAGCTTTCAATATTCCTTCCAATTAGGAAATATCTAAATATATTTGTTCGTATTTATTGCACATTACATAGACTATGTAACTGACTTGCGCACCTAATCAATTTAAAGTGATTTTAGCGAAAAGCGGGAAAATGAATGGATGGTTGAGAGGCATGGTACCGTATATGTACCGGTAGTTAACATAGGACCGTCCCACACTGATACAATAATTCACATCAAAAATTAGCATCCCTCTTCCCTGTAGGCCTACTTTGAATTACATTTCTATTATTAGGCCACGGCCCTATATTTTGGAATTTAATCTAGGGTATAATTTTCACGAAGCGGAATTGATCGTAATTAAGGATCTGTCAAAATATTATCACAAAAACATCAAGAAAATTGTAGACTTCGTATAGGCCTACTGTATTTTTCAACCAACTTTAATAGCAATGCGAGAGGCAACTTTGATTTTATAGAGAGTAATCTAGCTTGCGCTACGCAAACTAGAGTACGCTCACCAAACTTTGGACACTCAGAAATCACGGAATCGCGCTGCCATTTTTAGAGTATCCAAAATGTATCTCTATTTGATCTAAGTGAAGTATGAAATATACATAGAGAAGAAAATTGAATACCGTATCAGTCGCACTCTCTCCTCACCTTAAACATTTTGGTAGAGTTATCAAAAGCAGGACAGAATGATAATTTCTATGATTGAACTACACAATCGGAATGTTTAATAGGCTATATCATTTAGACTGTTTGTCATGAGAACTCAAATGCCCGAATTTTACACACACAAAAAAAATAATGTGTTTACGACTGAACTTCTACTTAATAGACGTTTCCGCTAAGCCCCGCCCCTTGGATCCCACAAAACGACAGTGTAAAAACATACGCACACACGTGCGTTTGTGGGACAATACGTCTGCTTGATAACGCTTGTTAATCCTGGCCCTGTTCTGAATGGTCAGTTGTTACGTCTGATTGACTCTACAGGGAAGGGTCTATTGTTAACTAGTAGGACGTGCATGTTTGGTCTGATAACATTCGGCAGAACCGGGGGCCGGAGGCCTTCACCCCCTCCCTCTCCAACTTTTTGGCAGAAACTATATAATGTCTATGCAGAATTTTGCATGATCGGCTCCCTCGCAATTCATATTCTCATTCATCTTACTAGTTCCCCCCCCCCCCACTTTGAAAATCGTACCGCCGCCCTTCTGAGTAAAATGATGATCCGATTTACAGAAATGTTTCAAAATGATCTAGCTGATTGTTCATTACTCACTTTCGACGAATGGCGTCGTGCAACTTCGCCCACAGCCGTTGAAGCAGCACTTGAAGTCATCCTTACAATCATCATCCGACGAGCACTCCAGCTCACAGCTAGCTTCACTCGCATTGAGAGGTAACGGGCATTCTAGTAACTCGCCTATAATTAAAAATATAATAATTAAACTAATAATAGGCCTAGGTCTAATTATTTCATAAATTTCCAAGGGAGAATAAAATAAATGGTAAATGTAACAACACAATAAATCAGAACATATTCACTTTGACCTCTATAATTAGCATCGTCATTATCATTATCATTGTCGTCGTCGTCATCATCAACATCATCATCATCATCCTCGTCTTCAGCATTGCCGTAATCATTATCATTATTATCCTTGTCATAACTATTGTCATTGTCATTAGTTTTATTGTATATAAAGAATTTATTATTATTATTAATATTATTATTATTATTATTATTATTATTATCATTATTTCAATCCAATCCAATCAGAGCATTTGTAAAGCGCCTTTCTTTGCAGATACGAAGCGCTGCACCCCACATATTTAGTCACCTCACAACCCACAATCAGCCGTGATCATTGCCTAACCCAAGCACAGCACAGAATTTATATAAATTATTACATTATTATTTAGATGTTATTATTGTAATTATAGTTATAATTAGTTTGTATTTGTTTTATTGGGTTACTCATAATATTTGTAACTAAATAATTATAATTATATATTTATCATTACAATTATAATTGTAATGACAGCATGAATGTTGTTACATGAATCTGTTGTTTGCATTGTAAGTAACCTTTCAGGGGCTTAGCTTACCATAGCTTCCGCTGTCTTCTTTAAAGCGGCTTTCTCCAGCGGACTGTAACTGATTAGCCTTACGTCGTAATTATTATATTATCATCATTTTTATTATTACTATCATAACTACATTAATATTGATGTCATTATATTACATTAGGCCTAAATTGTAAACAACAATTAAGTTGGCCTAAGCAATTATTTAATATAACCAATACAAAAATCCAGGGACCTGGTGACGTCATTACGCACGCAGAAGGTTGAATTATGTGATTGTTGAGTTGATCATCAAAAACCTGCTGCCGTTAATGAGATGAAATTGTATTATGCATACACTTGACCAAGTTCTTTTTTTTTCATATCATTCACAATGTTCTAAGGATTACTCGACCTTCATACTTTGATCCTCCACCTAACTAGTCATTATTGTTTATTTCATATAATGTAGGTCTTAGAGTCACTTCGCATAATGGCGTTTACTAGTTAATGTTATGCATAGCTTTGTACGGGATTACTCAATACCAGTCTTTTCCACGCATGTTATTTGTTGTTACTGGTTTAAGTTGATGTGTTGGGCAACATTAATGCTATTTTTCTAATCATTGCCGGAGTCACAGAAATTTCGTCCTCTCCGATCCCCAGTTAATTTGGCACACCCAACTTAAAAAATCCATAGTGAATTCGGAATCGGACCCGAAATCACTATGAACAATACGTATTAGGAAAGGACAAATTCCTTGGAAAGCCAAAGCATCTGTGACATTCGTGAATGTTGCATGTATACATATACCACTGTTTTATCAAATTAGGCCTAGTAATATGCCAAGTTTATTAATGATAGCTCCTAGTATAGTAACGTGACTGTGACGTAAATTGACGACAAAAAAAAAACAAAAAACGCGTACATACCGTAAGCGGCAACGTACACTATGACCAGGATGTAAATTGTCCTCAACACCATCTTAATATGCTAAACGGGGAATATATATGAATATCTAAACATAATAATAGAAAGTTGTTATTATTAAACTGATACAGAATAAGTGAGTTATAACAAATACAGAATTATTAGTCTACAACATTTCTTCGACATCTCATCATTAATTCTCTGAAATTATATATAATCGGTGAAAATTGTAGTTTTTCTATGAGACATAATCCATATGATATTTATGTTCTGCCGTTTTTGTTTTTGTTTTTGTTTTGTTTTTTGGGGTTTTTTTTGTTTAAACTTTTTTTACATATATTTATTTAGAAAATCCAATTTAAATATTAATTAACAATCTTTTGAGAAGGTGGTTCTTTAACTTTTCAATGTAATTTTCCCCACAAATTCCCAGATAGTATACACTTAAATGTCAGAGAAAAACAAGTTATCTTTTCAGTTTGGTATAACACTGCACAGAGTAGAGTTGATTTTTGTCAAATAATGGGCGCGTAGGCCTCTATATCGGGCAACCGATTCCTAATTTTAAGTCATGCCAGATACCGTAATTGTTAGGCCTATAAGATAATAACTGTCCAAATAAAGTTCAGCGTATCATATAAATAACCATAGTATGACAAAATAATTTTATAATTTATAAGGAACTACACTTTTTCATCATTGGCACACTCAATGGATGGTGCGTCCAAATACAAGAAATAAAAATAAAGCAAAGTTTACAGAAGATAGGCCTATTTAAATCTACAGTTCAAATTTTAAAAGGAACATCAAAAGTAAAGTAAACATAATATATATATTCATTCAGGTAAAATTAACTTAAATATGGTTTTAAACTAAAAACTTCAGGCAAAAAGTTGATCATAAACATATATAATGCAAGTAAACATATATGAAATATACATACAGGTAGGCCTATTTTTATTATTATATCTTAGGTAGGGGCCTATTATATATAGCAATATAATTAATCGTGTCGACATATACAAAGTAGGCCTATATAAATGCAATACAATACTGTACTTTTGCAATAGGCCTTCGTTCTAATCAAAGCGGTGGAATCAATATAATTACAGGAACAGAAACTCCTTCTTACCTTATATCCACTACCAATTCATGTAGACATAAATTCGGACTGAGAGTTTGTTGATTGAACATCAACAGTAAGTGATTCATCGATGATTTATTTATTCCGTGTATCAGCTTAAGAAGGATATTCTGCAGACCATCATACCGTACAGGTAAAACCATGGATAATTGTAAGTGATTTACACCACAAGTTGAAGGACTCTTCACTTAAGAAAGGCTTACGCTGTACTCAGCTGTACTAGACATTTCGGATGCGAACGTCACAAGAAAACAATGTTTTTATTGTATTTCTAAAAGTACTTATTCATCTAACTTATATGTTATTCCTTTTACAGTTGGTAATCAGGAAGAGCTTTTTTTATTACTCATTTTATCAATGTTCTCATCCAATGTTTTCTGTTATTAACATAGTAACAAAACGTTACTCGGAAAAATTCTGAGCTCTCAATTGTCGTCACGTCCTGGATTAACTTAAACAAATAAGTACATCTACTTAAAAAAACTTTGCTTCATTCCCAGAAATAAAACAAATATATTTAAAAACATATTCAAAGTCATTAATAAGTATCATTATTAACATCGATCGGATTATTATAATCATCATCGTCTTCTTTTTTTCGTTGTTTTAGTGATTGCTGAGAGAGAGAGAGGAGGAATAAAATACTACCACGAACAAACAGTTTAAACTAGGCTTTTTAGTACAGACATTTACACTAAGATTATTAATGTTGTTTTGTGTTCGCCTACTATTATACAACCTGGATGATAGAGCCTATTGTAGATCACCGTGAATTTGCAACCTTTTCGGCGAAAACTGTGACTGCTAAAAAGATAATATAGCCTAGAGGATTTGCAAAATGTCACGAGGAACAAGTGCTGGATTTGACCACTACATTACAATTTTCTCTCCAGAAGGAAGGTTATATCAAGTTGGTAAGTAATACAATTTTTTAGGTTTTTTTACGATATTGTTTAGCTAGGCCCTACACCTAGGCTTAGGCCTAGACTAGGGCCTAGGTTGACTCCACTGCACTGCAGCAGGCTGCATTCTCGCCGCTGCAGGGACAGTCAGAGCTGCTTTCTCCGCCTAGCTAACTAGGCCTAGCTAGTCCTCTGGCAATGCTATACGGTATTCCCCGTTCAAGCCTTTTTCTTACAGAAAACAGAGTGGTTGTTTGTGCAACATGCAAGGCAAGAATGTAATAATATTATTACAATGCTATATAATAATTATATTATCCATAGGATAAGGCTAGGCTAGGCATGAGCATGAGCAAGGTACTTTATCTCTGCGGAACGTTACATCCAAGCCTTTGTTTGGACTATGCAGAGTAGTGTATAGTCGTAGAAGTAGAAGCTACACTACACAGTATTGCTTCTTTTCACCAAGAGGTATTATTGGGTACTTGGTGGCCTGTTTGCCACTGATTACAGTAGCAATACTTAAGCATGTGGACCCAGTGACCAGGGACAGAAGCCCTTTGTATCTGCAAATATATAAATAACCAAATAAAAGTAAAAATTAATAAAAATATAGAGTTTAGTTTATTGATGCTTTACGCATTTTAGTTCATTTTTATAGGGATTTTCCACACCTTTGTTTTACTTTTTTACCTCAAAAGAATATGCTTTCAAAGCTGTCAATCAGAGTGGAGTAACATCAGTTGCTATTCGTGGAGCAGATTGTGCAGTTGCAGTTACACAAAAGAAAGTGCCAGTAAGTATTTAATAGATGTACACTATAACAATTTCATTTATATTTAAAGCAACTAAGCAAAACTAAGAAAAAAAAAGAGAATAGCATTTTCTATTATTTATTTTTGATTTTCTTTATCAAAATATTACTGATATGACAACAAATTACAATAATGAAACTAATAAAATAAAAATAGCCAGACAACCGGTGAAATTTTGTGTTTGTAAAATAAAAAACATCATTGATTAGGACCTAGGTAGAGACTGGCATTCTATCAATAAATAAGCATCATTCCAGTCTATGACTGTATGCGTGGTTGTTTTTTTAAAGTCATTAAACCCCACTTAAAAGTGGCAACACCTCCCACTGCACACTTTGCTGAATTTTATGGACAAATTGATTGACCGTTAAAAATGTCGCAATTGGGAGAACACTGGAAACATACAATAACATTGATAATTCAGCTTTCACATCGCTGCCACTGCTGGGTATTACAAAAATTAATTGTTATAATATGTAACAATTAAAATACTGAATTCTGATTAATTAAACCGTAAATATTTGGAGAAAATTCCAACACAAGACTAGTTTATTTTAAAATTTGTTGGATTTAAAAAAAAATAAAACAATTTTTGTTTTCAGGATAAACTTTTAGATGCTGAAACTGTGACCCACATGTACCAATTAACAGAACACAATGGATGTGTTATGACTGGACTTGTTGGTATGTATAATATTATCATACACAGTGGTTAGCCCAGTAATATATAATTGAGGGGGATCCCAAATATGTATTTTTACAGATAGAGGGTCCAAACCACTATTCCCCACATAACATTTTATGGTTATGACACTTCTAGATGGCCAGAAATGGCACGCTCATACCTTTTTTACGAAGGTAGGCGCTAGCTGTGGGCCAGTTCAGGGCTAGGGTCAGCTAGTGGCCACCTCTGAATGTGCCCCTCACATGTATATGCTTATGTGAATTTGCACACAGAACTTGATGTACGTTAATGTGTGTGTTTTGCAGCTGATAGTCGATCACTTGTCCAAAGGGCACGATCCGAGGCAGCACATTGGAAATACAAGTATGGCTATGAGGTTCCTGTAGATATGCTGTGTCGAAGAATCGCGGACATCTCACAAGTTTACACACAGAACGCCAGCATGAGGCCACTTGGGTGCAGTAAGTATTTTTATTTTTATTTATTTCATTATCATTATACTTATTAATAGTAAATAGTGTATGTAGTAATAATGATAAATATTAAATATGTACTAAAACACAAGAAAAACAACAAGTTAATTTATTAAAAATTTGTTTCCTAGGTATGATTTTAATTGGCTACGATGAAGAGAAAGGACCTCAGGTTTTCAAGACTGACCCCGCAGGCTACTTCTGTGGCTACAAGGCTACGAGTGTCGGCGTCAAACAAACCGAGGCTAACAGCTTCCTAGAGAAGAAACTAAAAAAGAAACAGGATTGGTCATATAACCAAACAGTTGAGGTAAATGTATATTTTTATCAAGTTCAGGAAATTAAATGTAATTATTGTATTTCATATAATATATCGCAAAGCATACAGAAAATGGCATAACAAAGAATAAGGGGCTACTGAACTGTACATACCTTTTAAAATAAAGTATATTTTATGGGTATGTTTGGGGCTGTGACAATCTTCCTTTTGTTTTTGTTTTTTTATACGATATACTGTACTTTAAAATACATACAAGTAAAATTAATTAATAAATAATAACAATAATTTTAGATTAAATAGCGCTTCACTAAAAAAAACAAATTTTGAGGTGCTTAACAATAAGTAATAGATTTACATTTATATAATTTAATAAATATGTCTGTGGTTGCATTTAGACAGTTGCATATCACTGTAGGAGTATTGAAATGGAGGGGGCGGGGGGTGATCGAGCGTAAACGTGAAGATCAGTGATTAAGTTAGTGATTAAGTTATTGAATTTTACAACGCCAAATTGAAATCTTATTTTTTTCCTGATAATTTTTGCACTTGGATCTCATTTTGTCACCTGTCTCTTATACACATCTAGATGTGTATAAGAGACAGCTTGGTCCTTTTGGAAATTTCTGGATCCGCCCCTGAGAACAGCTGCAAGCTTCAAAGTCACAGAGATATGTATGCTTATAGAGTACCACAGTCATGTTGTTATAACACCAGGTGGCGCCCTCTGGACGCAGTGGCGGATCCTGGGGGGGGGGTTTCAAGGGTTTCGGACGAACCCCCCCCCCCCCTGTGAAGAAACGTAACAAAATCTAATGGGTCCTGGCTTACAAAAGGCATGCTAGTAAGATGTGTATAAGAGACAGAGATACACCGCTGCATTTGGATTGTCATTGTCTTGCCCAGGGCACTAGCATAGGGAGTAGCTTACAGTTTTAAACCATGTTCTTTATGTTCATTTTATAGAGTTTTTTTTCACTTGTACACCACTTTAACTTTTTTTTTTCTATTGATGTATTTCAGACTGCTATCAAATGCCTAAGTACTATACTCTCAGCTGACTTCAAACCATCTGACATCGAAGTTGCTGTCGTAACTAAAGAAAATCCCAAGTTTAGGTAAATATTTTCTTTTTTTTAAGTGTTTTTGAATAATAATTTGTCCATATTAAAAAAAATTCTTGTAAATAAATAAAATACTTAAAAGCATCGCAAGCCCTGTTTAGACTATCAAATTTTAGTTGAAAAAAACATGTGACATGCCTAAATATGGTCATGATGATATTGCATCTTGACCATATTTGGACATGCATTTCAAAAGTAATATGCAAATATATAAGAACAGGATTTTTTATATGTCTCTTAATTTGTAAATTAAATGTTTTCTCTTATAATATTTTAAATGAAGCTTATAACTTATTATATAATATTTTTTTAAATGCGTATAAAAACATATTTCAAGTTTATAAAGGTAGGAGGATAACACATAACATGCAGCGTCATTGTGTTGAATTGCGCATGAGCGTGGTCCATGACTAACTGTAAAGAGAGGCTTAGAGTAGCAACATATATAATTCCACTACGATGGGCTGAAATGAACCATAACATCGTGGTAACAGCCTACTCTTCAGATGCAATGGGTTTTTTAAAGTACTCACGAGCCAGATGTATACACTGGGCCTCCATTTTAAGTCCTTATCTGAGAAGAACCCGGCCAAGGAGCGGCAGAAATCAGCACTGATGTTAAAGCTGTAGTTAGCGGCGTCCCTGCCTTACCACTCGGCCACTCAGCTTGCACAAAAAGTGTATAATATATATAATCTATAAAATTATTTTTTTGAATAATTATGAAGCTCAATATTTTGGGTTTTTTTTCTATTTCTTTTTTTGTAGAACTTTAACAGAGACAGAGGTTGATGGCCACCTTGTTGCCCTAGCAGAGAAAGACTAAAAACCACCACACACTACTAATCATCATTGCTTACACAATGAACATTTGACCATCCGTGCCACTGCACACAAGCGATTTAAACAAAGGATTTTGGAATATTCCATAAATGCTTACGTTATTTAGGCGAGTTCTATAAGATGTATTGATTTGAAAGTTCAAGTAAACCTCTTCAGAGGTATTCCTTTATACGTGTATATAAACTATAAATATTCATTAGATAATGTCTAATGATTGATATTTATAAACTTTAAAAAAGCTATATGAATATTCATAAACCAGCAATTTATATTCATAAGATTAAGTTATCTTATGAATAAACCTGCAATGTATGTACAGGAGAGCCCTTATTAAGGGGTCCCCATCAGGACCAAAAAAGTGTCCCCTTAATAGGGCTTTCTCCTTAATAGATTTGTCTCCTTAATAGGGGTGTCCCAAAAGAGAGGTTCTACAGTTGTAAGGCTAGTTTACCATATTGATATTCATAAACTAGTTCTAATTTACTTAATGAATATGTTAAACTACCATGTGAGTATAGTATGCCTATCAGTGATCATCAAGCAGTGTTGAATGTTGGACTGTTTCATTTATTGAAGGGTTTTCTGATGTGTAAAGAAATAAATTTCAAGTAGTCTAAGCAAACTATTTAATATGGTAATTTGTTAACTTTCTTTTGTCTATTTCAACCTACAAAAATATAATCGCATAGCATGGAACAATTGAATGGACAGGGAACAGAACCAGGGGTGGATTTGGGGGGGGGGGCCGGCCCGGCCCCGCCCCCCCCCTCCCCCTTTTGGGTAAAATAGGGAAAAAAAGGAAGAAAAAGAGAGAAAAAGAAAAAAATGATAGCCCAGAATGCCTCAAATGTTATGTTCGGGCGTCTAGAACACAAAAATTTCGCGGGGGCATGCTCCAGACCCCCTACGCCAGTGTTGTCTCAATCGGCCCAACTTTCGACCCCCTACGCCAGTGTTGTCTCAATCGGCCCAACTTTCGACCCCCGCTTCCGGCCCCCCCTTTTGGACATTTCTGGATCCGCCCCTGAGAACAGCTGCAAGCTTCAAAGTCACAGAGATATGTATGCTTATAGAGTACCACAGTCATGTTGTTATAACACCAGGTGGCGCCCTCTGGACGCAGTGGCGGATCCTGGGGGGGGGGGTTCAAGGGGTTCGGACGAACCCCCCCCCCCCCCCCCCTGTGAAGAAACGTAACAAAATCTAATGGGTCCTGGCTTACAAAAGGCATGCTAGTACCTACCTGGGCATAGGTGGCAGATCGGACAAACTAGACTTAGCCCAACTAGCCTTCAATTAAATAAATTTAACAAACACTGTTTTTGGTTCACGAGTCGTACTAATTTATGTACGAAAGTGCGTTCTTCAGGCCTACCGATACGTGGAGGAAAGACTATGTATCCTACTACTCAATATTGTTGGAATATAATATTGCCTATGTCTTGATGAGATAAAATTGCCTGACCTTTTTCAAAGTAATTTTGAATTGGTGTTTTCATAAAGTATCAGTTCCCGACCCAAAATGTTCCACAGCCAAGCTCCTCGACATTTAAATACAGTACTCCGATATAATGAAGTAAAGGGATACTAGAATTCACACAGAATTCGAATTAAATTATAGTAATATAACACTACGGTATTGTTGGATATTCCACTATCGACTACTAAAATTCATGCCCTTCCCCTCCCCCAACACTTTCTAGCCTACGGGCCCCGTTACACGTCGTTACGCCACTGTACTTAATTTAACTTCGACATATATATGCGCGAGTGAAAGAACTTAGCTTTTGCCTTGCCAAATGTATTTAACTTTAGTAAGCAAATATATGCATAAAGCTAAGGTAACTGCCAGTTGTTTGCAGTAAATAAGTTTCGGTGTCGGGAATTAATTGTATGTTACATAAACAATATTAAAACATGGTGTGACATTCTCTATGATCGCCAAACGAAATCGAAAGCTGCAAGGAAAACACTGAAATAACTCGGAACGCAATTTAAGTCACATGATGAGTAGATTATTGGTTTTGTTTTTGAGGAAAATAGCTACTTTCCTTGACAGGAATATAGGTCTTTCCGGAGTATCAATCAAACTTAACAATGACCAATCAGAACAGCGCCAGGAAGGCGCGCGCCTCATAAATACACGTGTTGTCCCACAAACGTGCGTGTTTTCGATCGTCTTGTTGGACCTTAGCAACAATATTCAAGGGGCGGGGTTTAGCGGAAAGGTCAATTGAACGCTTGACTGAGAGATCGAAATGCATTTTAATCCCGAAGCTACGGCTCCAATTAGGCTATAAATTGCTCATTATGCAAGAAGGAAAAAAATGAAAAAATGAAAATTTGAGTAAGGACGAAATGTTACGATTTACCGTCCGTCCAAACGCCTGCGCAAATCTCTGGCAGGAGTATGGTATCATCATCCTTTTATAGACGTCTTACCAGCAAGTGCATTTTTAGTTTATCAATTAAAATATGGCAAAATAACAATGTAACACTATTTAAATATTGAACGAGAAGTTGTTACATACTACAAGAGTAACACATAAAATAGAGAATGCTCGGACTTGAATTTGAATATAAAAGTATCCCGGGGCGGTTGGGTTTGAATTTGACACTGCAGTATCTTTTAACGTTTCATCACAGGCAGGGGTTCGTTCGCCCCTACACAACCCTTCCACTGAGTGGAATTTTTTTTTCTCTTTCGTGGCGTAACCACCACCTTTATTCAAACAATCAGTACAGTACAGTACAATATTTCCTTCTATATCGATTTTTTTTTCATTACCTTCATGGCATTATTATTTATTTTTTTTAGACACCTGTCTCTTATACACATCTAGATGTGTATAAGAGACAGAATTTAAATTGTTTAATAGAATAATTTTTTTTTTTTTTTTTTTATATCACATTATACGGTATATCATTATAATATAACATACTTTATTTAAATAAATAAATCCTTCAGCACATAATAAATCCTTCAGCACATCGGAAACGCTTCCATTACGGTTTGGTTCCGATGTGAATGCCGCTAAATAGGCCTAAATAGGCCCACTGAGTGGAATTTGGCAGATGAATATTCAGTATACATTCAGTGCGTGTGACTGATGATTCTTAAAAATATAATGTAAGTGACCGCGTTAATCCCAAAAAGCTATAGCCGTTCAAAATGTAAGTCAGTTGCATACTTCTAAGAAATAAATAGACCTTAGGAATAATTGTCGTATGATAATTAAGATACCAGAAGAAGCTTAAATTTTTATTTTTTATTTTAGAATATTTTATGGGGATGGTACGTCCAGCCGGAGCTGCATGATCATTAGGGACCCTCTCAATACATATAAACAAGAAACAAAGGAAATTACGAAAGCCTATTAGGGCCACTGAAATATATATTTTTATGTCGTAATTACGACTTATTATGTCGAAATTTCGACATACGTATGTCGTAATTACGACTTATTATGTCGAAATTTCGACATAAAGGGTTGGGCCACTATTAGTACTATAGATCTACGCATGTCGCGTAATAAAAGTTAAAGTAGGACTGACAACATTAATGACCAGATGCCTAGAGAGGGTTTCGTCGACCAGTTGGTAACTTTTACCTTTTTTGTGTATTTATTAATAATAGGAATAAATCTAAAGCGGCCTCATGAGGAGTTTCCTCTGATTCATATAGAACTACTAGGCCTATATAGGCCTACCACTATTCTAGGTAGGCCTCTCTAACTAGGCTAGGCATGTGCCTAAGTGGTAACGACCTGTGCTTAACCATGTCTAGGCCTAATGCCTATATAGTCTTAGTCATAGGACACTCGGTCACGTACTGCATGTTCTCTTCGATGTGCAGCGACAGCAACGGCAGTGCCAGAATAAATAAAAGAGGCATAGGCTAGGCCTACTTTCGTAGTATGCCTATATCTAGGCCCAGGCCCAGGCCCATATCAATAAATGTAGGCTAGGGCCTAACATAGGATGTCTGGCTCTATTCTATAGTATATTTCGAAATTATTCTGTACCAAATATGTTTGGAAAATTGAAAATTTATTAATATTATTAATTATTTCTCTATTTAGAAAATACTATGGCACAGAAAGAAATTGACCTGTATGAGTACATGCATAGTCGCGGTATTGAAGAGGAATGCATAAAAAAACTAATTGACGAAAAGGTAAGTTTAGGCCTAATTAATTTTGAAAAAGCTTGGCTGCATAGGCGTATGCCTATACTGTACGTTCTTGGGTGTCTGAGAACTGCAGTTCAACTTAGAACAATTGTAGCATTTCTCAGTACGATTTAGGCCTGGTCCAGAGATGTAGCTATGGTTGGTGGGCCACCCAGCCTAAAAGTTTTCCACCCAGGCTAATTTATGGCCCTCCACCTATCCATATTAATGCCAATTTTCCATCCGTAAAATCTACTCTTATTATTTAGAGTTTACAGGTGTTTTCAACCCACCCACCCATAACATGTCTATCTACCCCCCTTATAGCGCCCCCCCCCCCCAATTTTCTACAGATACAACGCTGTAGGCCAACTGGGGTGTCAATATGAAACAAAACATTCTAGCCATCTGACATACGGAAAGCCGCTCTATGTGCTAGAACATTATTTGAGGTCAATGAATTAAAAATAATATTGATATAAAAGTGATGTTAAAATAGTTGGCATATTTCAAAATGGCTGCCAAAATTGTCATGTGTTGATTTTATTTGCAAACTCAGAAACTAAATAATTGCCCAATATCCCACACTGTCCCACAATGACAGGATGCTAAATACATTTCTGATTGTTGTAAAGTATGTTTCCATTATATCAGATAGTTCTAGATATCTTTTCCTGTCATTGCATTTTTAAAGCAGATTGTTGATAAACCAAAATTGAATGCAACATAGAGCAGGCAATAGAGCAGGCAATCTATGGTCC